CTGCTTGCCCTCCTCCTAGAAAGGTCATCTTTCATTTCATTCATTGCCATGTGGGATCATAGTGATGCACATGACTTTAATACAGTCTTTCCTGTTAGAGGCTCATGTCTGTTATACACTATGTTGTTCAACACTTATATCCTTCCCAGATGTCTCAACTATCAATGATATAAGAGTTCTTGGCCAGACAGAAGTTTCTATTCGAGTGGACTGGAAGAACCCACCAGCAGAGGTAGATCACTTCAGGCTCACGCACACTGACCCAGCAGGGCTGGAGGAGAAGCAGAACGTACAGAGGAGCCAAGAGGCACGCACAAAACACACTATTGTGGGTAAGTGTTAGAACAGAGAGAACGCAGGTTTACACAGAAGATATGAACACATGTGAAAACCCAGAGTAGATCTTATACTCTGCTTAAATGTGGACAAACTCATTTCTGAAAATGTTTACTCTTTTGTTGATGTTATTTATGATTTTTTTTTTTTTACTTTAGTGTTTGTTATTCACCCACCTAGTTAATATTTTGAGTGAAATATAATGTGAAGCACCTTCTTTTTCTGCTATTTAAATAAAGTGTATTCACTTACTTGACAGCAATTATACACATTCATCTACACAAACATTTTTTGTATTCACTCTTCTGATTTGTATCAACTGTCATTATCACAGTATTAAGTAAAATAAAAACATTTAAAATAAATGCATAACATAGTATAATATATTTTTTCATATGGCAATATACTACACAGTTACATTTAAATGCAGATGTTTAGAAGATAAGATTCATGTAATAGAGCAGGGATTTCTCAGTATTTGTCAGTTGTAAAACCTTAAAAAGAAACAATGTCTACTTGAAAAGTCTCATCATAATTATTGCCTCAGAATGTACATGAGTTTTATGTTTAATTAAAGAGTAGGTTTCCCTCTGGGACTTTTTATCATTTGATGGCTGTTAGGCCAGATAGTGTTACAATATCTAGTATGTCACTTGGAAGAGATAGAAAAAATACACATAATTTGGTGTAACATAAATCACTGGCATTATACTGGTACATACTACAGATAATTACATCTCTGCCTTTGCTGAGACCAAACAAATGTGTCTTTTTTTGCAGGTCTGTATCCAGGGACAGAGTACCTGATCTCAGTGCAGGCTGTCAAAGGAGACAGTGAGGGAAAACCTTCCTCCGTCACCGGTGCTACAGGTCAGTGTCAACACAGCAGCGTTCATGTGTCATTTATCCTAATGTGGCTCTGTGTTACTCAGTTATTAGCAGTAAGCGCAAACTGGGCCCAATTTTCCTGAAATAGACGACCACTAAACAGAAATTGCAGAGACTTGCATTTGTTTTACCACTGGCTGTGTCTCAGTGTGGATGGCACTTAAAATGATGGATCGGCCACTTGTGGAAGTGAAACACATAAAAGAAACGGCGAGGCTATCCATATTCCACTTAGCTTAGAACTGGGTGCAGGATCAAAGACGACTCTTAACTCTTGTCAGGCCACCTATAATTCACCAGTGGTTAGGCCTAACAGGAAAAACACATAATCTGTCGCACACAATATTTTCATACTGTGTGATGCAACTTAGTATTATCTTCCACACCAGGCCAACACAAACAGCATAACGAATATAGCCAGCAAGAGGCACAATTATGGGTTAATAGCAGAGGGCTGGAATTTACAGCCTGATAATCTGGACGGTTCCTAACGGCTGCGGTGAGTATGGTCACTGGGGGGAAACATGATATGAACAGTGTTATGACTATGATTGCTCCCTGCTGGGAGAGGTGAGAAGGTTCGAGATTTACAGGGTCCATCTGGTAATGTTGGATTTTAGTGGTGTGGTATTCAGTTATACGTATTCGGTTTAATCGTGTTCTGGGTTGGTTTTACTATGTAAGGAGGAATTCATTTTACTGTTTCACTTGAACAGCTGGTCTTGACATTCAGCTCCTTATTTAAGTGACTGACAAATGACCCACACTGGCACACAAGGTCTTCGGTTGTTCCCATTATTCGGCTCATTTGTGCATTGTTATTTTCTAAATCTCCGCCTCTCACTCCCTTCTGTTTTTTCCGCCTTCACCTTCACTCTCATCCAGCCTCAGGCCTTACTCATTTCAGAAGTTGATGGCTCTTTGTTTTTTAGACCCTGCGGCAGACAATTTAATGGTTCTTAGTTATCAGTGTTAGCTAGGTATTTTCTCTTTCTTTTGAAGCCAGTCATACTCAAGAGCCCCTGAGGATAGTCCTCAGCTCTGCTTAACAGCGAGGTACAACAGACAGTGCTAGTCCCACTGATTTAAAAATTAGATTAGCCTCTTTTATAACCTATTGGCCTTTTTGAATGAAAAATGAAAGTATTACTATAAAGCTCCCATCAATAAACTATAAATAAACATACGCATGCTCATGAATTAATAAGTTTGAGGTGGTGTTTATCCAGATGAAATGACATAGAAAGCTACAAAACTGAAAACATACTTGTACTGAAAATGAATGGTGTTAGAAATAAATGACAGTAATGCTGAAACTTCTCATGGCCCAGTGGGAGAATCCTGTCTGCTCAGGCTTGATTATCAGAGGTTGGTTTTTGAGCCAGTTCTGTACAGTAGATACCAGAAATATATGCACTACAAAAGTTAAAAGTAAAGAATACTGCTTGCATGTTGATCAAAACTTTGAAACTCTGTGGTTGTCAGTGCAATGTATGGCTAATTAATAATGTTAAAAGTAGATTTCATATCATTTAATGTTGTTAATACGATTCATCCAGATGTAGCCATATACTGAAAAGTCAATTCTGTCATAAAAATAGATGTATGAGCTGCTTACAGTACAAATAAATTGTTGAAAATAAAAACAGTGGTGGCCAGGGGACTCCACAATAAAACATATGTCACAGCTGACACACTCACTAGTCTCTAAAAGAATAACATCGTTCTGACATATATTTTCCCTGCACTCCATTTGCAGACATGGCTTCCACTGTACAGTCAGGGCTGTGAAACCGTGAGGCAGTAAATGATGAAAAACAGCCTGTTTCTGTGCACCTTGTGGTTGATTCCTTTGCTGAACATACCACCCACAATAGATGAGTTGTTTTCCAAATGGCCAAAGCCACAGTTCAGGTTCTATAGCCCTGTAGCTGCTGTGGCTTTGCAGCTAGTGGGGTAGAGTAATTCAGTCCATCGTAGACTGTTACTACACAGCATATTCAGGCACCCTCAGAAAGCTTGGAAAAAGATCTGATAACATATAGAGTAATTTAGACAGCAGCTATGAGGTCTAGATCAGCACTTTTTTTGCTCTGAGTGTAACAAAATAACAGCATTACACAATGCAGAGATACCATATAAAAGTGCAGGTGAGCAGGTTTGTGTGGGGAATCAGGAGAACGGGAGTTTCGTACATTCACAAAGCAATATGCACAAAAACTAGATTACAGTCACTGTCAAAATATATGCAGTGAAATTATTAGTTATAAAGGAAAGCAAACTACTCGTGAATATGAATGTACAGTATGGCATAAAACAAAACAGAATGGAAGCAAAGGTTATAAATGCTTTATGTTATGAACAGACAAAAACAATGATATTAGATTTAGTTGTTACAGACGCTATTCATTTTTGTTTTGGATTGAGACCTAGTGTTACTTTTTATAGTTTTGTAGCCATTGTGAAGGGGATTTTTTACATCGTGAGTGGGCATTGCTTTCTGAGCTCATTGCTTACTGAAGGTATTGAATGACTTCCCATTTTTAGGCTGTGGAGGAGACACTCAACCCTAATAACATGGAGTTATACATTTCTGTGGTTTAGCTCATGATGGACTGTCAAGCAGTGCAGCCACGGGGCCAAAACAGTGACAGCAGGAGAAGTGGATGGACTGTCAAGCAGTGCAGCCACGGGGACAAAACAGTGACAGCAGGAGAAGTGTGGAGAGCCAAATTGGGGATATAGACTTAGACAGTTGCATACTCCCCTTTTTTCTCCTGGATGCTTCATCAATTCGTTTCCATGATGCAGACACTGACACAGGATTGACCTTGACAAAGCCACTGACACAGACAAATAATCCTAAATGATGATTGCTTTTACATTTCCCCTGACTTCCTCTGTGTTCCTTTTAGTCTGCTTCTGTAATCTGCCATGTTTATTCTTTGTCACCGTCCTTCTTATTGTTGGTCTCACTCTACACTTTCATAGAGATTCCCTTGATAGAGACTAACATCCATCCACACAGTGCACCACAAACTGCTTTGCTTGCCTCTTTCACAAGTCTCCCGAGAATCCTCAACCCCATGTTTTGCTCTGCTCCTGTGTCCTCTTCCCTGTGCAGGACATGGCCATGGGTTAAATTGCTTCATCCTTTGAAGAGCTTCACAGAGCTCTTCCTCTGAGCCATAGTACAAATTCTTCTCTGCTTCATTTGTCATCTTTAGTGTGTACAATATAAAACTCTGGAGACTCTTGCATGAACTTATACTGGAAAAGTTTTGCATGCCACAGAGTCGCAATCAAAATGCTTAATAGTTCCTTTTTACCAAACCCTGCTGCAGACCTCTGTTCACTCTTCCAGTACCTATCACATGCTGTTTTTGCTATTTCTACTTTTTATACCTGCTTCTTCCTGACACCAATTCAGTGCAGTTGTGGATGTTATAAGCAGGGGTTAAAGCCCTGACCTCGGCGAACCAAACTGCATATTACACTGTTGTCATACTACACTAACCATACCCTTTGCAATTTAAGTAAAAATATTCCTGTTTTGTTGTGAATGTCCTCCACAGAGAAACAACAGCATCAGTCCTTTCAGCAAATGATTGAATTGATTGTTTTTGCAAGGGTCATTTAGATGATTGTTCTGGAAGACACTGATAGATGACCTACAGTACAGTATGTGTTAAATGAATCATATCTGTTTTTATAGCCCAATGCAGTTGAATAATACCTCTTTTTTCATCTCCCCTTTAGACATTGATGCTCCAACGAACCTTGTTACCACCGAGGTAACAGAAGACACTGTAACAGTTTCATGGGATCGAGTCCAAGCAGAAATAGATGGCTATATATTGAGCTACACCTCTTCTGAGGGCTCCAGTTGGGAGATCCCTGTAGGACGTGATAGCAGTTCATACAAGCTGATTGGCTTGAGGCCTGGAGTTCTCCACACCATCTACATCTGGGCTTTCAAGGGAGACAAAGTCAGCACAAAGAGTTCAATAGAAACTGAAACAGGTAAACTTAGAAAAGAATCAGTGTTCATCACAGTAATGATTGATTGAATCTTTTGTGTGGATATATCCACCCATAAGAGCATCACAGAATATCCTGATATAAAATGAAATGGTGGATAATAAGTCTAAAAGGTCACCTGGGATTTCCACAAAGGTAAGACACAAAAAATAAGCTACTAACTAGTCTTTTTTGATGGCAACTCAATGACTTGTGGTGCTCCGACATCTCAAGTGTTCCCATGCATTGCATTTTTTTCTCTCATCTTTGGAGCCTGTACACAGAGGGAAAGATGTCCGAGGTGTTTCTTTTTCTTTATACAATGCCAATCATTGTCTTTTGACCATTCATGTGATGGTTTTCTATACAATTTCCTTGTCTGTTTTGTGGTGACAAGAAGTCAAAAGCATCACTGTTGACATTTTACACTTGGCACACTAACCTCTCTTTACCTACATGCCAAGAGGAGAAACTTGAACTGTCACTGATAAAGGCTGTTTAACATAATTAGGGTGGACACATCCTTTAAAGGTGGTTTAGCTTAGCCTGAGGCTGAATATCTGTAAAAGTTTTGGAAGAGCCAATCTAGCTGGGTCAACAAAGGCATTTTGTTTCTCCTGTGTCTTTTAATCTGACTGTTGTGAAGGTTAACAGCTGTTGCTGCCTGCTTGCATTTATGTTTCTGGGGAAAGGCGGCAGAAGAGACGCTTGGAGTATTGACTGGCATTTATCCAAAGAGCTTTAAAATATTCAGCTGAACACAGGGACTTAAAACTTTAAGGACACTCACAGTAAAGTAAAAGATAGTTCTCACAATTGCACTGAAGCATCTGTAAAATACCAGCAGTGTAAGTGTTTAACATGGTCAGGAATTATTAATAATTTATTGAATTTATAATTCTGAGCTGCTGTGTTTGCTAAATGTACCTAATGTTTTTTTCTCTTTTAATACACAGTGTTGATCTAGATTCAGAGTTTCGATTTTTGAGGGAGGCAGGCATGTTAGCTCCAGTAATCTGTGTCATACATCAAACAACAGGAGGCAAATATGGCCTTGAAACTTACTTTGCAAGGTGGCAGTGTTAGCACTGTTATATTTGTTTTCTCTTTAAACTATAACATGGTGCAGTATTGGAGAAATGGTACCGGTAAATGGTCTTATACTTGAATAACGCTTTTCTATGCATTGCAGCACAGTCAAAGTGCATTTCACACTATTTGGCCACTCACACTCCCAAACACTCACACACCAGTGTCATCACCGGGAGTATCAGAGTATCAGCAGTGCATTATTTCTTCTATTTGTGCACTGGATGTAGTGATGTCCTTTAGTGTTCTGTACTAACTATAACTCCCTATGCAGAGCTGGGCACCCCTACTAACGTCTTGGCCCAAGATGAAACCGAGTCCAGCTTCAGGGTTTCCTGGGATAACGCCCAGGCAGAAATTGATGGCTTCGTCCTAACCTACAGCTCTTCTGAGGGCTCAAGTGAGGAAATCCTACTTGGGTCTGACAGTACTTCACACATGCTGACTGGCCTGAGCCCTGGGGTCCTCTACACTGTCTACATCTGGGCCATCAAGGAGAACAAGGCCAGCAGGAAGGTCTCAACACAGGCTGAGACAGGTCTCAGATCTATGATTTTCTGTTCAAGTCAAAAGCAACACATTTTCTGACTGGCTAATGTAAAATCTGAAGGAAACCCTTATTATGATCCTCGACATAATAACTTGATAAAGAGTATTTCTCTGTCAAATGAAATGAGATACAGATGAGTGACAACACAAAGGAAATGAAAAACTGGGGTGGCAGACTGCAATCTCACTTTGAATATGTGCATGTATGGCCAATGAGAATCCAGCTGCTCATGGTTTTGACTATCAATATAACTATAGTGTAGTTAATAACCATGGGAGCGCACACTTATCTCAGATGATTGAATCTGGCTTTTCTAATCCACAACTCAGGCGGAGGGGTCAAACAACTGAAATATCCAGATAGACTTAGCTGGCGTAGCTAGGCTACCACTGTCTTACCTAAACCATGACTTGTACAGAACTGGATGTCCCAAATAACCTCTTGGCCCCAAGAACAAGAATCCATCTTCAATGGGTTATTAGACAGTCACAAATCAGTGGCTATAGCCAAAGATGAAAAAGAAAACTTCAAGGATAAGGCTAGTCATTTTCTATATTATTAGTATTTTCAGTAATGTCCATACAGAGACTAAAACTGACAATGAATTGTAATATGCGTTGACACTGGGAAAACAGTGTTGATGCTCATCAACCCATAATGATGCATGCCAGTTCACTGCCGGTTTAATTGAAAATAATGAGTGCCAGTGTTTTGATGTACTTCACACACACCGCCTGTGTGCGATGCCCTTTAGGCACCGAGGAATAAGCTGATCCAGGACTGACACACCGAAGGACATTAATAATGAGCAGAGTCAAATCATTGTCTATTTTAGTCTCTGAATGGGGAGTGTTGAAAATATTGTTAATATATAAGATGACCAGCCTTATCTTTTAAATACAAAGACTCCTTTGGAGCCCGATACTGCCTGAGCTGATGTCCTTCACATCAACTACATTTGAGCTGTAAAGTGGCTATCAGGTTTAGTACCATTTGATACTAATTAAAAATAGGTCTAGAGGATTTATATGGATCTTTTTTAATGTTGCAATATGCTTGTATAATTATGTATGATTATAATTTTTCTTTATTTACTCAGTTATGGTACTAAAGTTCGTAGAAAACTTAAGCTAAATTTCGATTTTCAGTAAGAAGTGAAACAACAGTTTGCATTAGTAGTTTTTGAAGGTTGTATGAGTACATTAACTACTGCCACTAACATTTTCCTCTAGAACTGGATGCTCCTGCTAACCTCCTAGCTCAAGATGAAACTGAGTCCAGCTTCACTGTGTCATGGGATCCAGTCCAGGCAGAAACTGATGGTTACATCCTAACCTACAGCTCTTCAGAGGGCAATAGTGAGGAAATCCCAGTTGGGTCTGGCAGCACCTCTTACAGCCTAACTGGCCTGAGGCCTGGAGTTTTCTACACCGTCTATATCTGGGCCATCAGGGGGAACAAAGTCAGCAAGAAGATTTCAACTAACGCCGAGACAGGTTAATACGAGACGAATAGGTCGATTTTTGGTAATATTACAGCCTCGTTTTGTCTTGAAATAAAAATTCCAATAATGTAAAGATGAACTTCATAGTACTAAGATCCTTTTTGTTCTGTTTTGTATCATCTGTAGAAGTCAATTTAAAGACATTTATGCACACAAGCAAAGTAATGATTTAAGGAGAAATTGACAAATGTATGCCAGGTTAGGCCTTAGTCTGACTTTTACATAAATGAGACAGGTGTGAGAATTTCTAGTCTGTTAATACTCAAATCATCAGTTAATTTTAAATCCACATAAGGTGAAACACATTAATACAAAACTAAATGATACAGTATCCATACATCTGGATTGTTTCAAGATATACTATCCTGCCTTTAGCGAAGCAGGGAATTGATGAGCGAACACTTTGATGACATGCCGAACAAAAAACAAAACTAACAAAAAAGTCATGCAGCTTGATTCTGGATTGAGTTTTAAATAGCTCTGTTACTACAGCAGGCATTAAGAAAAAATGTGCAGGGCCCATAAGCACCACAGCTGTGGCACAAGTGAGACAGGTTAGTGCTTAAGACCAAAAGAATGTCTCAATCAGAATCTGCTTCATATGGCCCCAGTTTGGGGAAATGCTAGTTCTATAGAAGAAGAAACAGACATTAGTCTTGGAGTAAAATCAGTTGCATGAAAGTCGTTGCCTATCACACAGTGAGGCAGGAACTAGAGTAATGTTTTCCCCTATACAGTTTATTAGAAAGCTGATGATACTCATTTCTGCAGAAAAACAGCATTGAATTGAATCATAGATTTACCACATCTCAAAACCACCTGGACTATGAAAGGTCATTTTTAGTTTTTAATTTAAATCATGTGCACACTAAAAACAAAATTCGCAATTTCCATTATATGAACTTTGATTAATTAAAAGTCTAAATTTGTTTATTCTAAACTGTCGAGAAGCACCAAAACTGCTGTTCTAGCAGGAAATGCTCCTCACAGACCGGGCCATGTAAGATATGTCTTGTAACTCAGTGTGGGGTAAAAATAGCAGCGGGAGCACATGGTGAATAGGTTACAACAGGAGCATCTTTGTGTGAGTCAAATGATCTGTGAAATCACCTGGGAGCTGTAAGTGAAAGGAGGATCCTTTTCAATTAGGCAGCAAATGGCGGAGTGTTGGGCTATAAACTTGTTGTGTCGTAACTCATTAGAAACCATCGGTGACTGCAGACCATCATGGTGCTGGGTTAAGAGAGGAGCGCCATTGTGTCAAAAGAAATCATCTGGGATACATCTGTGACTTCATTGAACCTAGTGACAAGCATCATTAATATGTCACTTTAAACTGTCTGAAGGTAACAACACTGTGTTTCGTAGACTTTTGTCTGATGATCCCAGTAGTACTACTAAGCTCGTTCCCCCGTGTTACAATTCAATTACCAGCAAAAAAAAATCTGTGATAATTGGATAATTGGACTCCTGAATAAAAACCCCAAAACAATAAAAGATTGTTTTGGGGTTTTTGCACCTCATGGTGAATTTTAGTTAATGCACTTAAAGCTACAAAATGAAACGGAAGGTAGCACTTGCATGAAACTCCAAATGAGTCCATTCTGCTTCACCCAGCACTCCCTCTCCTTGCTTCACCACGCTCTGCCATGATCTGCTAGGCTCCACCACGCTTTGACCAGCGCTTCAGATATTTGTTGTTATGAAAATACAATGAGAATGCAACAAAACTTACTGATCAGACAGAAATAACTGACAATCTCTCAATCGTCAATCTCACTCAAAACCTTTCTGAAGCTAATATCTCTGCACTGCTGCCAGTGCTGTTCATTGAGTCTGGGTCACAGGAAGCTTCGACACCACCTCTCCACATTAAGACAAGTTTGGAGAATATTTCTAAAATAAAAATATTTGGAAAAAAATGTATATACTGTAGCTTTAAATATAAGCAGCAGAAAAAAAAATCCTCTACTAATCCAACCAAGAATTCTTTTCATAAGGTGTATTGATGAATCAATTAATGCTTTTGTACTGTAATCTGCTCTATTTTACACTTTTACCAACAGACATTGATGCCCCTAAAGGCCTGAAGGTTACAGATGTGACACTGGATTCAGCTGTTTTGACTTGGACTCCTCCTCTGGCTGATATTGAGGGCTACACCCTTGCGTACAGAGATGAAGCAGGCAACATGGAGGTACTGAGCCATGAGGTTTAACACACAGCAACTCACTGCAGCACGTATACCAAAAGGTATTCAGATGATCAGATAACACTTAAAAGGTTAACTTCAAAGTTTTGGTTGTCATCCATTAGACTTAACACACTACGGACATATTCAAGATGTGCATACTCCCAGTGGTATAAAGTAACCAATCACATCAAGTACTGTACTTAAGTACAGATATGAGGTATCTGTACTTTACTTGAGTACTGTCATTTTCTGCTACTTCATACTTCAGCTTCACTACATTTCAGAGGTAAATATTGTACTTTTTCTCCACTACATTTGTTTAAATTTTGAATGCAGGACTTTTACTGGTAACAGTATTTTTACACTGTGGTATTGCTACTTTTCTTTTGCCACATCTGTTTTAAAATTCATATGTCTCTTTGGAAATAAAGAGATAAATATGTTTTATATAATACATTATTATTTATCATGGTATAATTCAATTTTTATAAGATCATTACATTAAGTTAAAAAAATCACCATAATGCAGAAAACTGAATGTATTGTACAAGAATTCATAAAACCTTCAAGCAGAGCTACTGTACTTTGAGCATCCTGTAACCAAATGGAGAGTGATAAACACTAAATGATAAATGCTGGTCCTGTCTTTCCCCTATACCACAATACAAATACTTCCTCGAGAACAGTTTCTTCACTGTTTGAGATTTAAGCTCTGCCAAACACTGACCTCTTGTGGCCAGAAATTAATCTTGACGACAAGCCAGCGTCTGCCATCACTCATTGGAGTTATCTTGATCAAGGGCAATTTTATTTTGTCAAATATTATACCTCAGTTACACGATATTACACTCTGTGTAATAATAAGACAGATTTAAACTTTTCTGCTGTCAGACTGTTGAAAAGCAGCTTGGAGCCCCACAGAAGACTTTTGCTGTCTCCAGTCTGAAGATGGGGACAAGGTACATTGTCACCATCATTGCCTACAGGGGCAACAAGAGGAGCAGAGTGATAGAGACCATCTTTAAAACAGGTCTGTATTCACTGCTTCTCTCATTACTGTCATCTTTTAGATATCTGTGATGCTCTGTTGTGTCCGGATATGTTCTTTCTTTTTTTTATTGCATGTATCATGTAACATAATGTAATTCTGAACTATAACGTGATTTTATATCCTGAGTCCTGGACATAAATCATGCTTGCATCACATCCTGCTCCCTAGTTGGCCGCTTGTACCCCTTTCCCATGGACTGCATTCAGACCATGAAGAATGGCAACAAAAAGAGCGGCATGTACACTATTTATATTAACAACGACCAGTCCAAACCAACTGAGGTTTACTGCGACATGGACACGGATGGAGGCGGCTGGCTGGTATGAATTATTGTTAAGACAAATCGGTATTGTTAAAAAATCATTTTTTAAATAGTGTTCCATAATATTGATGATACTGTTTATTTACAGTAATGTCTCTTCTGTTGGCAGCATCTTGCTCATCACAAGGGGGCTCATCAGCCTGTGAAAACAGATGTTAAGATGTTAATGTCTTCTATTGCTCTCATGGGAACTTTCTAAAAAAACAGTCTTGATGTCCTGATGCTGTTGATTTACACTGTAGGAAATGTGCAATGCAGTATTTTTTGACTCTTGGCTGTGGCTAAGGACTAATAGTAGAATAACTTGGCCTCTGCTGCCTCAGTTTTCCCCATTCTTTTTAAAATTAGTTTCTTATGAGTCCCCTGACTTTATGGAAGTCTAATGCTATATAACTGGAGTCCCCCTTTAATTATAGTAATTGAAAGTAAGTGCTACTTTCATTTTAGTGGTGGAGATGGTAACCAACAACAACAA